CCCCACTGACATGACCCAACCGTCATAAATATGAGTCAGTTGCCAAGCGTCTGAATTTTGACCCCATGATCATGAGGATGCTGCAATCGTCGTAAGTGTGAAAAAAGGCCATAAGTCACTTTTTTCAGTGACTTTGTCACTTTGAACGGTCACTAACAGTTGTGAACTGAGTTTATAGTCTTGTTTTGTGATTGTACAAACCAATTTACTTTTTAAGAGAAAGTTTCTGGATAGCTCTCTAGAGGGAGAATTATTTTTTTTCATTCAGTGAAGCACTCATGGTTGGAGAAAAAAATCACATTTGTCTTCTCCCATATTGGGCATTTTGCTTATCTGTGTTATTGTTTTTCTATATAGCTTTAACTCCGATATACTACATACGTTACACATTCTGAAATGGTATAGGGTTTCCTGCCTAAGCAAGGGGGTTGGACTAGAAGACCTCCAAGGTCCCTTTCAACTCTGTTATTCTCTTCTCTTCTCCTCTTCCTTGCTGAATTCCAGTCATCTAAAAAGTTCAGTGTTCCAGTACTGGGACATTTAATGACCAAAATCTATCTGGCAAGAGAGCAATATCTTTCTTCCTGCACTTGAATGTTTTTGTTATTCCGTGCAATTATGTGAAGGCAATTTTATCAGTCTAGTTCTTTGCCAATGGATCCTACTTGCACTCTAAGTGCTGCTTAGAATTGGTGCTTTCGCAAAAAATAGAGCTACGTTTGTAGTGGGTTGTGAATGAGTGAGGCACTTGAATAACAATTCTTGGGAAACAAGAAAAGGCTGGCATATTGACGTTGTATTCCTGAAGGTATTTGGCTGAATCAATGGGAAACCAAGGGATGAATAAGGCTGGTAAACTATTGAATTCAGCTATTGTTTCAGTTTTGTTAACCAATACTTCTTTAAATAGTCATCTAATATTTTTGTGTAACCCAACTGGAAAGAGCCATCATATTTACATTAAGTTGAAGTGTTATACAGTTTTTTAAAAAAAAAATGTATCCAGTTACTTTTGTTCTTGGTAAAACTTACATACTTTCCAGTCTCCTGAAAGTAATGTTTTAAAGTAGAAATATAGAACATTATTAATGTAGCAATGTACTTTTGTGGTATTACATTTTTTTCAAATAGAGAGTATTATGTTTTCCATAGGGTCTTATTTTTTTTGACAAACTCCTCCCCCCCCCCCCGAAATAAGCACTTGGCCATATTTTGGGGGAGGTCTTATTATTTTTGAGGTGCAGGAGGCAGTGAGAGTGGTCGCCTCATGGCTGCTGCTGTGTTGCAATATTTTGGGGGGAAGGTTTATTTTTGGGTAAGGGCTTATTTTAGTGCATGCATTCAAAAGCCCGATTGGGCTTATTATCCGGGGGGAGGTCTTATTTTGGGAGGAGCAGTATAATGAAACTAGAACTGATAAAGATCACCCTAATGAGGGGAAGGGGAAGGGGAGAAAGAGGAAGGGAAAGAAAGGAAAGGAAGTAGAAAGGAAGAGAACATTCTGCTTTTTAAAAAAAAATGTTTACAGACATTTATTACTTACCTTCCCTCATTTGGAGACAAAACAGCCAACCCCCAAGGCTCATTATTGAACACCGGTGCTTTAAATACGACTGAAAACACTATATTAAGTTGCCATTTAGGAAGGAAACATTCCTTTGAAACAGCTCATTTTAGTTAAATGATTGTTTAGGAGGAAAAAAAAACAATATGAATAAAAAAGCCACCCAGAATTGTGTCGCTATTTTAGTCTGCATTGAAACCTGCCAAACGTTTAGGTGTGTGTGTGGGGGTGTAATGGTAACGAGAGAAACATTGGGGTATCTCGTAACCCGTCAAAACCGTGGTCCACTAAAGTGCGCCCGATTAAAGCGCGTACCTGACGTCATCAGCAGCGCGACA